CCCCCCCCCCCCCCGGTGGGTGTGGGGCTGAGGAAGTGACGTCAGGCCTTGAGCCCGGCGGGCTGGGGGAGGAGGGCAGCGGGATGCGGGATGGAGGATGCGGGTTGCCATGGCGACGCCGGCTGGACCGGGATGCGGGGATGGGGTCTGGGGATGGGGGACACGCGGGGGGGGCTCTGCTGGTCTCCACCCCCCCACAGTGCGGGGATGCCCCCCAGCCCCCAGTAGTGGCTGTGAGCAAAGCGTGGCCCCCAGCTGTGCCGTGGGGGGCAGCAGGTTGGGGTCACTGAGCCCCCATCTCCCCGCCTGCACCTCCTGGGTCCCATCAAGCTGCAGGGACCCCCTGTGCCCCTTATTATTATACAGGTCAGCCCCCATCTGACACCCCCCCACCCTCACTGACCCCACTGCCGTGCCCCTCCAGGTGCTTCCCATCCCCCCCCTACATCCCCAGCCTCCTCAGGTCCACCTCAGCCTGGGCTGGGCTTTTTCCCTCGGCATCGCCCTGGCCAGCGGCGGAAGGGAAAACCATCACCGCCCGCACGGCCGGGAGGAAAGGGGCCTTTGTTCGCCCTTCCGGGCCGTGCGCAATGAGGGGCAGCGGCGGACGCCCTGTGGGGTCCCCCGGGGACGTGGGGACAGAGAGCAGAGCCCGGAGTCCTGCAGGGTTGGGCTGGGACAGGGATGGCTGGAGGGGCGTCCCCGTGCACAAGGGGCGCGAAATGGGGACAAGGAGTGGGGACGTGTGGGAGGGATGCAGGTTGGGAACGCACCGTGGGGACACACCGTGGGGGGGTCACACTGTAGGGACATGCTGTGGGGGCATATGGTGGGGTCACACCATGGGGGCATGCTGTAGGGACACGCCATGGGGACATAGGATGAGGACAAAGCAGGACGATGCACTGTGGGGATGCACCGTAGGGTCACACTGTGGGGTCACACCGTGGGGACGTGCCGTGGGGACACACAATGGGGTCACACCGCGGGGACGTGCCATAGAGATGTGCCATGGGGACACACAGTAGGGACACAAGGACATGCCATGGGGGCACAGCATGGGGACTTAGGATGAGAACACAGCAGGAGGACGCACGGTGGGGACACACCACAGCATCACGCCATGGGGACACACGGCAAGGATGCACCATGGGGACACGCCACGGGGACACAAAGCGGGGACACGTCCCCTCCAGCCCCATGGCCCCGTGATCCCCCAGGTTCTCGGTGAAGACGCTGCTGGAGAAGCACACTGCTGAGCCCATCGACGACTCCTCCGAGGAGTTCGTCAACTTCGCCGCCATCCTCGAGCAGATCCTCAGCCACCGCTTCAAAGGTACCGCAGGGACCTCCCCGTCCCCTCCCCATCCCCTTCCTGCCCTCCCCCCCCCCACGTCTCAGATGGGGACACGAGCTCCCAGCGCTGCCCCCAGGCCCCGTCAGCTGGTTCAGCTCGGATGGACAACGTGGCTTCTGGGATTACATCCGTCTGGCCTGCAGCAAGGTGCCCAACAACTGCGTCAGCAGCATCGAGAGCATGGAGAACATCAGCACCTCCAGGGCCAAGGTCAGGGGGAGCCCCCTCCATCCCTGGCCCTGAGCCACCCCCGTCTCCATCCCCATTCCCAACTCCCATCCCTGGACCCATTTCCATCCAGGACACAGCCCACAGCCCCCTCCTTACCCCCTGTCCCTGTCTCTGTTCCCATTCTCTCTCCATCTTCATCCCCATCCCACCCCATTGACCACTCCATCCCCATCCACTGCCCATCCCATTCCATCCATGTCCCCCTCCTTGTTCCCATCTTCCCACCCTAAACGCCATCCATATCCCCTGCCCCATCCCCATCCTCCCTCTGCCTTCATCTCCATCCCCATCGCTATCCCTGTCCACATCCCTTTCCCTTTTGTCCCCATCCATGCCCCCATCCTCCATCCCCATTTCATCCCCAGCCCTGTCCATGTTCCCAACCTCGTTCCCATCCTCCCCCCTATTGCCACCCTCATCCCCATCCATGCCCCCATCCCCCCTCCCCATTGCCATACCCAGCCCTCTCCTTGTCCCCAGTTCTCATTCCCATCCTCTCTTTGTCCCCCCATCTCACCCCCACCCCACAGCCCGAGCACAGCCACACCATTCCCAGGGAGGGTTCCATGAGGGAGGGTTCCCATGGCACAAGGGGACGTGGGATGGCGGTGCCATGGGGCAGTGATGGAGTTGCTGGGGTTCCCATGGCACAAGGGGACGTGGCACGGCGGTGCCATGGGGCGGTGGTGGAGGTGTTGGGGTTCCCATGGCACAAGGGGACGTGGCACGGCGGTGCCATGGGGCGGTGGTGGAGGTGGCACAGCACTGTGAGCCCCATTGCAGGGCCGGGCG